TGGTCAGTTTCACAGAAATGCTCGAGGTAAATTCATTTCACTTGTTCTCAGACCGGTTTCCATGTAATCGCTGATGCTTTTTTAAAGACAATCGCCCTCTTAGCTACAAAACAGGTGAAAAACCTTACGTCGAGTTGACAGACCACAACTTCTAGATTATCCGTCCCTAAACAAAAGTCTGGCAATTAAATTATTAGGAATAAATGACATTTTGGACCTAACACAAAAGGTTAGTCCTACGCTGGGAGGATATAATATCCAACATTCGCATATTTTAGCATGCGTTCCATTTTAGCCAATTGGTTTATGGTCCGGAGCTTCCGAACTCTTACAGGAGTCCATCTTCGGAGGTAATAAGTAGCAACCAAAAGGAGGGTAATTATAGTGGGCATAGGCCCAATCAACTGTCAGAAGTCACTGACAGTTAATTAGCGTACACCACCATAATTGCCCCGCCACCCCTTTTTGATTGCTATTTCTTACGCCTTGACAACCTAATGACTCCTGACAGTTGATTGGCTCATGTCCACTGTAAGTACCCCCCCCTTTTTGGTTGCTGCTTCTCATCTCTGAAGATGGATTCTTGTAAGAGTTTGCAAGCTCAGGACAATAAACCAATTAGCCCAAATGGAACGCATTCTAACGGGTAGTTCAACATCTGATTGCGTATCGATGTTGTCGCAGAAGTACTAATGAGTAAATGTGAGTGTTCAGACTCTACGTATATTCCATCAGATGACAGTTATCTTTCGACCTACAACCTTCTTCATTAGTGTCACCTCATGAGAAGTAGCAAATTATGCACTCGGTGTCCAACACACGACGTATATGCGGATAAAATTCATTTCAACGAACAGATGTGATCACACTCCTACGTTACTCCAAAAATTCCCCCGAGCATATCGGTAATGAAATTGTAAATGTTTGACAGCTATGAGCACTTAGCATTTTCGCAAAACCATGTGCGAGAAAGCAGCTTCTGAAGGTGTTTTGGTAGCTCGCCTCCTCTAGTTGTCACGCGTGAAGATCTAGTGTCATTATAGAGGAAGTATTTGCATGAAAACGATTGTCACCGGTTTTTAACAATATGGTTCTAGGTTTGTATTTTCCTTCACCTCACATTTTTATCCCAAGTGCAGGAGGTTCGCAATAATAGTCCGTTTATCAGTGGGTTTCAAGTTAAGTTATGGCTAACTTTCCAACTTCTGATTGCAGCAAACATCTTGCCAATAGGAAAGTGTTAAAATTCCGCATGCGTGAATCGCATAATCTTATTATCCCGGACATGCAAAATAAGAGGCAGAAGCCTACCTTGGCATCACCAGGCGGTAGTTGGATCATCAGTGACAAGAACTTAGGTCATATAAATTCACTGATAAAAGATCAAAAACGAGACAAAACCATACCGAATCTTCCTGCTCTATAGGTTGTTAATACTTCGGGCACAAATGCTCTGGCACCTAACGAGACCTGCTTCAAACGCTTAACCCTCCCTTAGTACGTAAAGAAGGAGCTCAGAATTTCTGAACTAAATAGACCAGAGTGAACAGATGAATCCGACTAGTGTCCACACGAAATTGGCCTTTTGCGTAATATAGAGCCGTAATTCCGTATGCTGATATTATGCATAGGTTTTTCGAACATGTAATTATTTCGTTATCTAACCTTATGTAATGGTACGACTGTTACAAATAAGTAGTTCCTTTCATTCCTGTGCCTTTATTGCAACGCGGTCTAGATGCGTGCAAAGCAAATTCTACATGAACGCTTTTTAGCCAAGCTTAACTGTTTCTTATAACAAGTTCAGATACCTGGGACCACACTCACACGGAGTTTCTGAAAACAATAAGGCCCTTTGTTTGGCTTCGTCTAAAATCATGGCTCATTACCGAATGATCGCATGAGCATATAAATAATAGAACAAGAAGTTCGGACAATTTTTCACAGGTATTAATTCGACGACGATAGCATGCTTGTGGACCCCATCCATAAGAACTTTATCGGAGCTGTTCATATACTTGGTAATGTAGCTTGGTGACTGTTGACGGACAGACCAGTGACGCCCATAAGAAGTGAAACGCCTCGAAGGTGAGCAAAGGAAAAACAAATTCCACCTAAGTATGCTTCGAGCATGCGGTCAGAACGAATAG